AATAACATAAATGAAATTGGTGCATTCCCAAGACAGATTGAGACAAGAGAACAAATAGAGAAGCCATGACTATCAATGTAAAAGCATACAGCCTTATGCATTCTATACACACTACAGTGTTGAGGCTTTAAAATGTCAAGAGAATGAAAAATGGCCCATAAGATGAAGGAAATGTTTGTAAGGTATATCTGATAAATGATACATATATAGAAGGTACAAAGAACACTTTCAGGCTGGGTGTGGTGACTCAGATCTATAATCCCCAAACATGGGAGGTGAAGGCAGGAAGATTAGGAATTCAAGGCCAGCCTCAGCTACATGGGGATTTTGAATGCAGCCTGGGATTTTTTTTTTTTTTAAGGAACACTTGCAACTCATAAGAAGAAAAAAAAGGGAGAAAGGAGTGGGAGGAGGAAGGAGGTCAACATTGAACTCATCAACAGATGGCCAATGTCGGTGACCACTAGGAAAGCAAATGAAAATCATATCACTTCATACCAAGTGCCGTAGCTTGAGCCCAAAGTAACAAGTTTGTTAAGGCTGCAGAGAAACTGACCCTCGCACCGTACAGAAGGAAGGTGCATATAACCATGCTGCTACTTTGGAAAACATCTGGCAGTTGCTCACAAGGTTCAAACAGTTAGCATTTGACCCAGCAGCTCCGCTCCCATGTATGTACTGCAGGGGAATGGAAACCTTTTTACACAGATACCTGAACCTTCAGGCCAGTGTTCACAATAGTCGCGACTGGAAACAGCTCAGCATCCCGTCAGCCAGCGAGCCTCTGCAATGCTACAAAGTCATATGTGGAATGATACTGAGACACTGGAAAGGAATGGAGTACCAGCACATTTCACGTGCTTGTGATCTTGGCACCGGAAGACTGAGGCAAGGGGATGGGAAAAATCCAGCCTGGACTTCATAGAAAGACCTCGTCTCAGAAACAAACCAAAGAGGAGTCCTATGTTAGTACGTGCTATAACATGGATGAGTCTTAAAAAACATTATGCTAAATCAAAGAAGCCAACCCATAAAAGAACACATGGGGTGTGATTTCCTGTATACGAAATGTCCAGAATGGACAAATAAATGTTGATGGCACCAAGGGGATTGGTGGGTGCCTTCTGCTGAGAGGGAATGGCTTAGAGAACGGGGACAGATGCCAGTTAGAACACTTTGCCTTTGGGGTGGGGAGGTCAGAGGCTCTGAAGTTGATCGTGGTAATGGCTGTACGACCCTGAAGACACCAAGACCACTCACTGAACATTCTACATGGGATTAGCTGTATACAGCTGGAATTGTATCGCCACTAAACTGTTCAAGGTATGGAAGACCTTCAAAATTAGTTTAATTATGTGTTTCAGGTATGAAATGGTCTGTAAAAAGCTTATTAATGTAGCGCAACGCCTGCTCTTCATGTCATGTGCAGTTTGCAAGTCAGGCAAGGGCCTGAAATTGAAACACGCACAGACACACACACACACATACACGGGTGCCAAGAATGCCCCTTTATTGTGTTATAGGGCAGCTTATATAGGGTCTCCTTCCACGCCCTAACTCTCAGCTGCAAGCCCCCCCAAAACCACTCCCCTGCCATCAGGAACTCCTGAGGGTCTCATGATCAGAGCAGCTGCAAAACAAGTTGTTTGCTCAGAGCAGCTGCAAGCACAGGAAAACAAGTTGTTTACTCCAGCAGGCAGGGTCACAGGAAACTCAGGGTCTAGGGATCCACCGTCCCAAATAATTAAAATAGGCACAAAATAAAATAGACAATATGAGTTGTCACACATATAATTTTTTAAATATTTTTATTTTGTATTGTTAATGTGTTTGTGTATGATTATGAGGCCAGAGGACCACTTTCAGGAGTTGGTTCTTTCCATATGCCGTGGCATCTGGGGAGACTTACACAATGCTTTTACCCGCTGGATCAACTCACCAGTCTACATTTGTAGCTTTAAAGAGCTAAATCTAAAGGGGTTGGAGAGATGACTCAGTGGTCAAGACTGTAGAGAGCTCTTCAGAGGATCAGAGTTTGATTCCCAGCACCAACATGATGGCTCACAACTCTCTGTAACTCTAGTTCCGGGAATTTGATGCACTTTTCTGGCCTCCCTGGGCACTGCGTGCATATGGTGCACATATATACATACACGGAGACAGAACACATATGAAGAATGTAAAAATAAACATAAGTCAATTTCACAGAAATAAACCCATTCTGTAACTGAAACCCTTTCTATAAAGAAAGCTTAAGGTCAAAATGTTTTAAAGTGATTTTTCCTGAAATTTTAATGAGAAAAGAATACAAGCTGCATGCTTTGTTTTTCAAATGCAGAGAAGAGACTCAATGGCTTGCTTCAGGAAGCCAGCTTGGTTTGTGTCTTGGAATCTAACAAAACTTTTAAGACAAAACCACAGGCTAGTTCCACTAGTGACTGTGAACACAGAAATTCTGAGCAACGTGTCTATCAGCATCCACCACTGGGATAAGGTTGGGAGAACCAACTTCTAAGGAGGAAGTATTTCTTGCTTAATGGTCCAGAGGTTTACAGTCCTGATGGCCTGGCCCCATTGCTGTGGGCCTGTCTGGAGGCAACGTGGTGAGGAGGCTGCTGGCCTCAGGGCAGCAGGGAAACAGAGAGCAGGATTGAGCACTCTCCTAAGCAATGGCCTACTTCCTCCAAGGAGACGCTCCTCCTCCTCCTCCTCCTCCTCCTCCTCCTCCTCCTCCTCCTCCTCCTCCTCCTCCTCAAGTTCCTGCCATCCCCTGTGGGAGAGGAGCCAACTCTCAACACATGACCATGGGCGTACATTTCAGTTCCAAACTACAGCACCCCAGCCGTGCTACTAGAGAAACTCAAGGGACTCAGTCTCATGAAACTCAGTGAGGTCCCCCTGAATGCCTGACACACAGGAGGTGCTTCATACACATTACCCATTCTCTCCCTCCCCCCACAAACAAGCAGATGTTTGTCTATGTCTGCTTACAGATAGGCGCAAGGGCTCAGCCCGCAGCCACTTCCCAGCCAGTTGTCGGGCAAGCCTCTCTTTAGGTCAGTTTTCTGGATACTTGACCATGAAGAAAGTAAACACAGGCTTAAATGTTCTCCCTTCAGAGCTGGGAAGTGTTGAGACTCCCCAGGAAGTGACAGCAGAGTGGCTGGCCTCTGGGAGCAGGACCAGTCTGCTGCTCTCTTGGCTGTGGCTGGAATGCAGCTGTCAGGGCAGCTGTTGACCTGTTTGCCCAACTGGAAAAGCTGCTGCCAAGTGGCAAATCCTTTCCAGAAGAACATTTGACTTTGCTGAGAACAATAACAGTGCACTTTATCAGGCTCCAGCAGTGCCAAACAAGGCAAACGCATGACTCAGCAGGTTCACGATCTAGTCTGAAATAGATACCCATTCCATTTCTAATGTTTATAAAAAGACTATGCAGACTCCCCAAGAAAGGCTCTGGGCAAGCATCCCCACAGCCTGATTGTTTGTTGCAACGATAACAGATTGGCTTGAGAAAACATATATGAAAGGAATCCAGAAATATAGCCCAGCATGGTACCATACTCCTGCATTCCCAGCCCTGTGGAAGCTGAAGCAGGAGGGTAGGGAGTTCGAGGCCAGCCTGGGCTACATAGTAAGATTCTGTCTGAAAGAGAGGGAGGAGGGGTGGGGAAAGAATGCAGGAAGCAGGAACTTACAGATGTCAAAAGGGGGAAAAGCTGAAATGTTTTCAGTTTCTATGACATGACATCACTCCAGGACCAGAGTAGGCAGCCAAAACACCATCACCAAACCCCTGCAATGCAGGGGTCCCACGACGCGGGGATCACATCGTCAACTTGCATTTTTAATTCTTACCACTAAAGACTTAAGAAACAATTATGTTGAATTTGGCAGATAAGGGTGGGATGGGAAATCAGGGATATTTTACTTTCTGTGGTAAAATCGGAATGTCGATTAGAGGCAGAGAAAATTAAGAAAACACATTTTATTGAATGAGTATGATTTTCTCCAAAGCCCAAATGTACAAGGATCATGTCCAAACTGAGATTCCTGGGAGATTTTCTAGAATCAGAAGCTCGCACCTTCAAAAATGCTTGTGGAGAAATACCCCAGGCTGGAGGAGAGAGGCCGTACACACCCTTTCTGTGGAGAAATACCTGAGGCTGGAGGAGAGAGGCCTTACGCACCCTTATCTGGGCTGGAGCAGGGTTAGAGGTCAGCATTTGCTGTCTCTCCCGGCTGTTAGTGTGCACTCCCCACACACCTTTGTGGAGACCACAGTATTGGGGCAGAGAACACGCGTCTCATTAACCAACTCCGAAGTCAGAGCCAGAGCGCACGTTCTTGAAGATTAGCCTAGTTGACTAAAGATTCAAGGCCAGCAGCGTCTCTAACCTACTTTTTTCTACTGTCCACTAGGCAGTAATTGCAGCAGAAGTCACGTTTTATCTGGCCAGTCCTTCCATTGCAAAAGTGGCGTTGGGGGCTGTTGAAGCAAGTTGGGGTACAGGGCTTGCTGACAAGCCCGAGCACCTGAGTTCTATCCCTGGGATCCTTGTAAAAAGTGGATGGAAGAAGCCGGGCGGTGGTGGTGCAGGCCTTTAATCCCAGCACTCGGGAGGCAGAGGCAGGCGGATCTCTGTGAGTTCGAGACCAGCCTGGTCTACAAGAGCTAGTGCCAGGACAGGAACCAAAAAGCTATGGAGAAACCCTGTCTAGAAAATAAAAATTAAAAAAAAAAGTGGATGGAAGGAAAAATCAGTTCTACAAAGTCACCTCTGACCTTGACACATACATTGTAAAGTCACCTCTGACCTTGACACATACAGTGTGGACGCATCCATCCCACACGTCGTCCATACACACCTGCGCAATGTAAACAGTCGCCCCTTCCCGCAAAGCTGGCCGGACTGACTCTGTTGAGCAGGTTAAAGCCCCACGACTGGATCGGGCCTGCTGAGAGGGTGGTGCGTAAGCTTCACGCTCTTCCTTTTCAGGGATTCGGAGGAGCAAGCAGAACCATGGAGAGTGTGTACAAGTTCTCCTCCACAGAAAGGGTGCAGCTATTGGAGAAAGACCTGGCTGTAAAGCTAAGCGAGCTGAAGGCAGAGCTGGAAGAACAGAGGCTCCGTCCAGAAACAGCCAACTGGACCTTCAGGTAAATTTGCACGGTCAAGCTGGGGCTTCTGGGCCTTGCCTCCCGTTCTCATCCTACGTGCTCAGTCTGCCCCGTTCTTTTCCTTCGAGAACAGTTGACATCACGCATGCTCAAATACAGGGCACGCAACGGTAGTTTCCAATACCGTTTCTTCCTTGCAGCTATTAACAAGCCCAGTCTTGCTAGGCTGACGGGATCAGATGCGATCTGGGTGCTTAGCGCCAGTGCGGCCACAGAGAACGTGACGTGACGTTTCCCAACCTGTCTTTAATGTTTCTAGAACAGCCACGGTAGACTGGAGCAAATCTTACTGAGTGGGAAAATACTTGCTATTTTTCTAAGTCCCAGAAGCTACTATATAAATGAAAAGTTTCATTTTACCTAATGACATTGAATATAACCTTAATTTTGATAAGACTTAAAAGCCTACCTAAGGCTAGAGATTTGGCTGTGGGTGCCAGGAGCGCTGTTCTGGCTGGAGCCCCTGCTGTGGGCAGTGCCTGCTGCTGCTGAGGGCCATCAGGTTGCTTCAGAGGAGCAGAGGGCCCGTGAGTCTTTCTGCCCTGGGCCTACAGGATCATTTCTGTTAACATGAGAAGCCCATTGGTGTGAGGAAGTGGTGTGAATGGCCAAGGGGAATGGGGAGGAGATGAGGGGAAGAAACAGTAATTGTGCATGTTTCTACTTATTCCGAAGTTGGTTCTGTGCCCTTCAAGCCAGGTGGTGGTAGCAGGTGCCTTTAATCCCAGCACTCAGAGACAGAGGCAGGAGGATCTCTGTGAGTTTGAGGACAGTCTGGTCTACAGAGTGAGTTCAAGTACAGCCAGGGCTACACAGAGAAACCCTGTCTCGGAGGGGAAAAAATTAAAAAAAAAAAAAAAACAGGTACTCCACACGTTCCATGGTGTCTGAGGGAGCTCAAGGAGGAGCAGAGAGGTGGGACGATCACAGGACCAAGATGGTCATTACTGCTCTTAGTCTTTCATTTGCAATGAGGCCAAAGCCCCTCTCCTACCACATAATATTATAGGATAAAAACTATGACATTTCAGAGATCAAGTGTTGATATTACAGCTTTTACACCAGTCAAGCGATTGCTCGCTGTGCCATGTAACACGAAGGTCTGAAGGGACTTTTGAGAGCAGAGTGACAGAAATCCTGGATGCTTACACTTCCCTATCACCCCAAAATGCTACACTATAGCCGTCTGGAAGAATCTAAATTCTAAAAGATGCATGTTCGCTGTTTTCTAGGTGTAGTGTTCTAAAGAAAGAAGAAAAAAAAAAACAATCTCCACTCCCGGTGAATCACTTCAGCATTCTGTATTACTTAGCTGAGAATTCTCTTTCTTTCCCTTAGTTTTTCTTTATAAACCCTCTGTTTTGTGCCTGAGTGCAGGCTGGGAGGCAGAGAACCACCTCCTGTGTCAGTCAGCTTCTGCCTTTTCAAGACAAGTCTCTTAGCTGTTGGCTTCCAGCCTCACCCACCTCACCACAGGAATGCTGGGATGCAGGCGCCCCCCAGTGAGTCACTCTGGGGGATCAGTTGGCCTTTGCATGGCAGGTGCCTTGTCTACCCTCTCCCAAGCCTGCCTGCCTTTCTTCCTTCTTTTCTGCTTTATCTTCTCCTTCTTTCTTTCTTTTTCTTCAAATTTTCTTTTTAAATTTTTATATTTTTTTCCTCACTTAATACCCTAAGCCCTAGACCTGGCAATAGTTATGTGTTTCACAATGCCTGCTGAACAAGTGGACAAATATATGTCACAACATTTGCTGAATTAATGGTCGCCTTGTTGTGGGTTAGTCACTTATGCTCAGTGGCCTCTATAACCAGTCTTTCTGTGGACTGCCAGGTCATAAATGGCGACATAGAGACTTTTCATTACTTATGAAAGCTTGGCCTTAGCTTAGGCTTGTTCCCAACTAGCTCTTGAAACTTAACCCGTTTATATTAACCTACATCTGCCACATGGCTTGTTACCTCTCCTCAGTACCATACATCTGACTTCCCCCGAGTCTGGTTGGAGAATCTCCCGTACCCCCAGTTCTTTCCCAGAGTTCCTATCTCTTCCTGGAAGTGCTGCCTAGTCTCTCCTGCCTAGCTATTGGCTGTTCAGCTCTTTATTAAACCAATCCGAAGCTACCTTAGGTGGGTGAGGAAGGACAGAGACACATCTTCATACAGTGTGCAAAAAGAGGATTCCAGCAGGCCTCTCTTAGGTCTTTCACAGGCAGGTTGACTGAGGGGAACGGTGTGGCTTGAGACAGAGTTGGGCCGCCAAGCCCCTTATGGTCTAGGATCCCCACGTGCCAAGGACGGGAGACACAATTACAAGGGAAGACTTCTGCAACTTCCATCAACAACTGAGCCCCTTTCCGTGGGTCACTGTTTGCCCAGCTCCACGAGAATATAGATCACACAGTATAGTTGTGATCGATGGCTGCTTTCTCCAGATCTTATCAAAGTCTCTCTTTCTCCCCCACATCACCCCATCTTCGCCAAAGTCAAAATACGGGGAAAGAGGTAAGAGATGGGTTATTTCCAGCTTCAAAACCTTGACACCAAGTGTCCAGATGGGTGCTTAGGCATCGGTGGCCCAGCGTCTTGTCCATTTGAGCCGCTCTTGTCCGGCAACCGTGCCGATCTTTTCTGTGCCATTTCAGTTTTATTATCCTTGCTGTCAAGGTGAGGACGTGTGTTTTCTTTTCTTCCCTTCTGTCCCCCTCCCTTAGTGGTGGAGATGGAACTGAGGGCCTTGGCCATGCAGGACAGGTGCTCTAGCCTCTGAACTTCATCCCCAGTCTAGTAGTATTCAACAGGACTGCTCCTCCACCAGGGAACATGCTAACGGTGTATTTTACATTATCTGAGGCCTCTTGGCGCCAAGTGAACAGTATCAACCTAAGTTGATTCCTTCACATGTGTGTTTGAACTATGGATGCACCGGGGCTCCCTTGCCAGAGGCTGCAGCATCCAATCTTACAAGTGTGGGATGTATTTGGGGATGCTATCCTCTGGCATGCCTAGAGCTGCCTTCCTGGCACTGTCTATGGAACTCCTCAGGAGAGGACCAACTTTCCGGCCACAAGCTCCACCCCTTACTGGGGTCCCTCAGCTTGTGGTCAAGCGGAGCCTCTTGCATGGCTGTTACATGTTTCCTAGGGACCAGCCATGTTTCTGAAGCAAAAAAGCTTGCTTTAAAAAGTTTCTGAAATATTTCCCATCTGATATCTATGGATTGTTTCTACCCTCTGATAACTCAGCAGGAACATAAAAACATTTTGTTTCAGTGACAAGGTACCAGTTTTCTGGGTCAACTAAGGGGAAACAGCAAGGTTTGATAGGCACGGGGTTTGTGAAAGGCGAGTGCCGGGAAATGACTGCCCTAGCGACCCTCCCTGCTCTCTGGAGCAAGAAACTGGGATAAACCAAAGGCCGAAGAATGACTCCGCGGGGGAAGGGGAAGGGTTAGTAGGGATCAGGTAGATCAAGAAAGTTCTGACTGAGACAGAAGACGTGACCTTTATCCACCCCCAATGGCCCAGAGTGATTACTCACTCGAAAACGAATGCTGGAAAGAGTCACAGGGCCACCAGGCTGGCCATCATCTCGTCTATCACAGCTTTTCGTAACCGCGGCTACTGTTGTCCAAATCTTCCTGCAGCTCTGTTCAAATACCGAAGGATGTCGCTCACTTTAGACGCGAACGGGAAGTGGCTCTGAAGAGAACCCTCCGGGTGAGTATGAGCCTGAGGGGCTTCAGGACAACACATTCCATTTCGCTGAACTAGGGAACTAACTACTCACAAGAAAAGTTTACTTTTTGCAAACGATTGATGTTATTGGTCAAAACAGCCCCACACCCTGCTCACTGCTAGGAACGTGCAAACCACTGTGTCCTTCGGGAGATCTGATTTTGTGACATTTGAAATTTGATGGATTGAGAATGTTTGAAATGCATTGTTTGGGTTTAGGTGGCGGAGTGCAAGCCCCTTGTTATTCAGGCAGATGTCCTGCAGAGGGAGCTAGAGAGCTGCCTGAGGAGAGAGTACACGCCGGAAAACCTCCCTCTGCTTCTGCTGCAGGTAAGGGTGCATCTTGTAACCTGTGTACACTCATGGAGTGCACTGGAAATGTATCGGCAAGCTGGTTTTCCGGCAGCTCCTGCGAGCAGGTGTTCTGGACGTGGGCAATTTGCAAACTTGATATTAGTGCTTCCTTTATTGGAGAATCTTTCGTTTTCACAGCTAAGTTCAGCTTAAAGTTGCTGGGCTGAGCGATTGAAGAGGCCTGGAAGACAGTCCTGAAAACCTTTCTTCAGAAAAATAACTCAAAGCAGGAAAATAGTTTTCCATCAAGATTGCTTCAGTGTTATAATAAAAGCGAGAGAGTGAGAGGGATAGGGAGGGAGGGAGGGAGGGAGGGAGGGCAAGAAAAAGGCAAAACATGTAGATCACTCCTTTGTAGACTATTGCTCCTAGCATTAAATGTTTATCTTCTTGCACAAGGATTTGTTACATCTTGTAGTTTTAATTTAAAACTATGTATATACACCTTATAATAGTGATCAAATAAAATATAGAAGAATCACTAAGTTTAGATGGCAGGATGCTGAAAACGCCCTGGACTGTTCTATAGCTCCTCAGTTTAACACAATCATGTACTATTTCAAAACTGAAAATGGTTCATTCTTTACATCTATCACATCACTTAATGCAGTCTGTGTTCTGAGTTCTTCCCCTCACGCATAAAAATTAGCTCATCAGCAAATAGTTGGCATTAATTAGAAAAGATAATGAGATTCTATTTGTAAGTTAAAATGTTCATTCAGAATGTTCTCTCCCTGTAGTTGTCTTCCCTCTTTCCCTCCTTCTCTGCCTCTTTCCCGGCCCACCTGCTTCCGCCCCTCCCTTCTTCCCCTCCCTCCCAGCTTCCTTCCTCCCTTCCTTCCTTTTTCCTGGTAACTCACTCTTGTATGTTCTGCACATGTATGTTCTGGTATTCATTCCTGTATATCAGTGATCTCAATGGAGAGAGAAGATGGATAGGGTAATAGGTTGATAGATATTTGTCCCCTAAAGGTCATATGACAGTGTCTGGAGGTGTTTTTTGGTTGTCAAAATTTGGGGGGCAGTGGTCATATACAGTTGGTAGCATCTCATGTTTAGTTGCCAGAGGCTAAGGATGGCATTGAACAAAGAATTCTCCCACAGCTGAGAATTACGCAGGTCCCAACTGTCAACAGTGATAAGGCAGGAAAAGTTCTAGAACAGCCTGAATTTCCACATTATACTCTTTGCTGTCTGTCCGGGAAGTTTCCTTTAACAAGTCATGTAGTTCACATCTGCCAGGGACAGAGTCTCACGGTGTTGTTATTTTATAAAAATTATTTTCCTTTCGTTTCAAAAGGTTGTTTTCGCCTGGTACCGAATTCTGACAATTTTTTTTTTATCATTTGTTGCTTTAAAGTTGCTATTCTGTTCTCTGGTGGCTTGAATGGATTCACTTCTAACACAATGCATTTCCTGTTCCCTGGCTGTTTTAAGCTTTTAGCACTCTTTACCTGCTATATGTGTGTGTGTGCATGTGTGTGTGTATACATATGTAATACACATATATTGTGATGTATACATTCATACACACACATAGTGAGGTTTTCTTGATTTTTCTCTTGCTTGGAGTTATACTTATTTTTTTTGGGTTGTGCATTTAGTTTTTATTTTTTCCAAATGAGGAAAGATTTCTCTTGGCTTCATTCCAGGGTCACGGGTGCAAAATCACAACACTCACCTCAGAGGGGATAAAAAATGATTTATTCTGGAGCCAGATGTGTGTGACCCTGGCCCAGGAGCATGAACTCAGGTTGTCTCAAATTCCATGTCCCAGTGTGGTAATAGAGTCATAAAGGTCTTACAGTAATGTAACAAGGAACAGTCACAAATCAAGATGTTCTCCAGCACACTGGTGGGAGCCGCAGGCAGGCAGATGGCAGCAAACGGCCAGATTTCAGCTCCAGTCCGCGTGGGTGCTGGCTGGCGGTGTGGGTGCTGGCTGGCCGTGTGGATGCTGGCTGGCGGCGTGGGTGCTGGCTGGCGGCGTGGGCGCTGGCTGGTGGCGTTCTTAGTCTGGCGGCTGGGTGGAAGTTAATGGTCTCTTTGAGCATTCCAAAGGATTTTACCCAACAGCCACAGAGAATTCAGATCGGACACAGAGGTGAAGATTTTAAACATTTTAGGGGTTAGAGAAATGCTCCATGGTTAGAGCATTTACTACTCTTACAGAGGACCTGGGTTCCATTCCCAGATCCACAGGACAGCGCCCAGCTGTTTGTAACTCCAGTTTCCGTTGCTGCTTCACTGTGCGGTGCTCCTATTGCTGTTCAAGCGTGCCAACCCTTCTCGTGCTCATCCAGTTTTTGGTTCAAATGTGTGTTTATTTTTAGACTTCCCAGTTCTCTCCCAGCTCTGTTCATATTTTACTTTCAGCCTTTGAGCACGCTGAGCATACCGTAAGAGACCTTTAGAGAGTGTTGCTTGCTAATTTTCTTAGCCCTGTCAGTTCTTACGTTCGCATCACCGATTTCCTTCCGTCCATAGGGCATTTTTATTGTTCCTTTGCATGTCTAATAACTTATAACAGAATGCTAAAAGTCAGCAGTTTTTCACTACTGGGTGCCATATATTTTTATATTTCCCATAAAGTGTTGGACTTTGTTCCGGCAAGCTCTTAAGTTACAGATGAATTCACCCCTTTCAAGGCTTGTCTCAGGCACCCGAGGAAGAGTTTTCACACTGGTGGTTGGAACCTGACGGTCTCGCAGCTCTGTAAGAACTCTGGATCAGTTGGGTATAGGGCCCAGTTGGTTATTCTTTGCGCAGCCTCCTGGAGTTTAACCTGCTGCGTGCCTGGCTAGGCACTGGACAACAGACCCGTGGGGATTTATGCAGATTTCTTGAGCCTTTCTCTGCAGGGCTTCCTGGCTTCCTCCTCTAGGCGCTGCAGCCTACGATCTCCCTGGTGTCCTCCACACATTTCATGTCACTGTCCTTAACTCAGAGAGGTTCCTTCTGTGCTCAGGGTCCTCTCCTCCTTCCCATGCCTCGGAAGCGCGAGTGAGGTCCTCTCCTTCTGGGAACCACGGGGGGGCGGGGTCTTTTCTCCATGGCATTGTGTTGTCCAGGATGAGAAAACCGTTGCCTCGTGTGCTCTGTCAACATTCCTACCTGTGATGAGAGACTGACAGGACTCATTTCTTCACAGGCACTGTTGTTTTTATTGCTGGAGAGAAAATTTGCATTTTAAAAACACATCTGCATGACTGGCCTTGATCCTCCTGCCTCAGTCTCTTGAGTGCTAGGATTATAGAAACATATCACCGTATTTAACAATTTTTAATTGTAAACAAAGTTTATCAGTCTGATTTTATAAGTTACAATCCTACCTTTTCCTTTTCTTTTTTATTGTTACGGGATGTGTACGTGATGTATGTATGTAGGAATGTGCTACGGTGTGCGTGTGAAAGTCAGTGGACCTTTGTGGAGTCAGTTCCTGCTTCCACCTTTGCAGGGGTCCCTGGGCTCAAACTCGGGCTGTCAGGACTACATAACAAGCTCCCTTCCCCAAAGAGTCACTTCCCTGGTCCATTCATCATACCTGTAATGTCCTTTTGACCAATAGCTTTTGGTATGAGTATGTGTCCCCATGAATCCATGCTTACATGTGTGTGCTTGTATGTTTCCCAGGGAAAACCTCACGCGTCATTCTGCAAGTGCTGTTCACCTTCTTCTTTTGAGACAGATTTTCACAACTGGCATTTGCCAAGGAGGGAAGGTGGAGTGGTTAGCAAACCCCAGAGACCTGCCTGGCTCTGCCTCCCTGGTGTTCTGAGGGCTGCCACCCCTGGCTTTGTTTGTTTGTTTTCTTTTCCTTTCTTCCTTCCTTTCTTCCTTCCTTCCTTCCTTCCTTTCTTTCTTTCTGCTTTGGGGGGGTGGGTGTTTGTTTTGTTTGTTTGTTTTTCCCATGGGTACTGGAGATGAAACTCGGGCTTTTGTGCTTTCATGTAAAGCGTTTTACTAATTGAGTCTCCTGTGCATAATTTCAGTTCTTTAACCCAAAATGTCAGCTTGACTTTACCCCCTCTGACACCTCTGATATCCTGATTCGCTGCCCACAGTTCGGTAACTGACGGGTGAGTTTACGATCAGCCCACCCAGCGGCAGATCGCAGATTTAGACACGTCCACTTCATCTTCACGTTTGAATGATCTTGAGCCAGACTTCATTTGATAGTGTTCCTATAGGGGAAAAAATGTTTCCAAAGCAACGAAAGATTGATTTACTTACTATTAGTGTTCTTGAGACTCAGTTCAGGCTTCGTCCTATAATTATATTCTGGTAAATTCTTATTTTTGTTGTTGGGAAAGTATTACACAGAGAGAATTACACACCTGGCCCAGAGTAAACATTTGCATATGCTGAGATGGAAGCGGCTCTGCCAGACCAGCGAGACCATGGAAGAGCTCCACCCGCTGTACAAGGTAGGAAGCCGGGGGCAGAGCCTGTGGCCTCTAGACATGTATTTTTAAAGACTTTATTTTAAATTGTGTGTTAGTCCACATGAATGCAGTGCTCATAGAGGCCAGAAGAGGGCATCAGACCCTCTAAAACTGGAGTTACACATGTTACATAGATGATATGCGTTTTTCTTGTAGACCCAAGGCAGGAAGCTCAGAGGGGGCTTCCTGTTACCACACAGCCTCCTGCACTATCAAATTGTTGTCCCTCAGAGTTGGGATAGGATGACCACGGCTTCTATCGCCCAAACCCAAACTTTAGAGGAACGCAGGGGTTCCCAAAGCTCCTTATTGGACCCCCAGACAGCATGGCAGAGAGCAAGGCTCACCAACAGCCCATGGTCTGTTTGCATCTCTTTGGAACAGAGACAAGTCGGCTACATCATGCAGGAGTTCAATGATGCAGTTCAGAGAGCAGAAAGACTGTCAGTGGCTAGAGAGAACTTCCTCATGGGAAAAAGCAATCCCCCCAACCTGGTGACACCAGAAGACCTGACGATCTACACCAGGTGGTTAGTGTGTCACCTGCACTCGCTCCGGCCCATCCATCACTATCTGCAGGTAGTAGGAACCATAGAGTGGGAAGGGAAGCTCAGTGTCCCCCCGCAGCACCTGGTTTAAGGTGCTTACTGCTGGGTGCTCTGTTTTGGGGTGTTCACTGCCTGGTGCTCTGGTTTGGGATGTTCATTGCCCGATGCTCTGTTCTGGGGTGCTCACTGCCCAGTGCTCTGGTTTGGGGTGCTTACTGCCGGGTGCTCTTTTTGGGGTGTTCACTGCCTGGTGCTCTGGTTTGGGGTGTTCATTGCCCGATGCTCTGGTTTGGGGTGTTCACTGCCCAGTGCTCTGGTTTGGGGTGTTCACTGCCCGGTGCCCTGCCTACGAAGGCTGCTGGCAGCTGGGAAAACACCCTCTACCTCACTCTGTGTCAGTTTGGCTCTCTCGCAAACCTCTCTCACACCCTGCTTTATACCCCCTCAGCTCCTGCTTCCGTTGATTTCTTAGGATTCGTTTTCTTTGTGAATTGAACACGTTCTTTCACTTGGCAGTATTTCAGGAGGAAATCATAGGTCAGGATGTTTGCCCTAGGCCCACCCAGCAAAGACCTGGCCTTTGCTGAAGTGTTAACAGGGTCCTGGGCTGGTGGAAAGAGGACAGGTAAATTTCTACCACAATACAATGGGGTAAAAAAGGAAGAGCCGGGCTGGACATGGTGATGCTGCCTCGTCCCAGCACCCTGGAGGCTGTGTTAGGAAAGCCTTGAATCTGAGACCTGCCTGGGCTCCACAGTGAGCTGGAGGTTTGCCTGTCCATGGTGAACTTGTCTCAGAAATAATAACGACTGATAATAAACAGTGAGGTGGCTGTAACGGCTCAGTGGTAGAATATGTATGAAAGCCTGGGCGGGGCCAGGAGTTCAACCCCCAGCACTGCCAGGGAGAGGGGTCAGGGGAGAACCACTGGGTGAGAAGAATCACGTGGGAGAGGCCCCAAGTCAGCTTAGAGGATCACAGAAGCATAACATGACCTCATTCCCAGAAACTGGTGGTGGCCCAACTCCATCCCCTCGTCAAAGCCAGGCAGCCCCTGTGGGCTTCTTCCTCCCCAGTCATATGACAATACAGACACGCGCTCCTAGATCTGGGACTTCCACTAAGACCGAGTCCTTTCTCTTCACACCCTGAGCACCCCACACAGTGGCTTTCCCACCCATGTGCATGACCACTGTGGGGCTGGCTGGAGCTGGGTAGTGGGGGTGGTGGTGGTGGTGGTGGCGGCGGCGGCGGTGGTGGAGGCGGCGGCGGTGGGGGTGGGGGTGGTGGGTACTTCGAAGTTGGAAGCAGTTGCATCTCCCAGCTCTGCCCTCTGCCACTGTGCAGGTTTCTAAGGTGCCACCCAGCCTCCCTCCTTTCTCTGTCACAGTGAAAATACCTGTGTCCTGTCGGTTGTGTCTCTGCAGGCCCTCCAGTACTTGCCCATCTCCAGAGCGCTGCATCTAGCTGATAACCGAGTCTATGGACCTAGTGAGGAAAAGGAAAATATCGGTGTGGCTGACCTTAACTCTGCATCTCCCGGTCCCACGGGTTCCAGCATCTCAGGTAAGACATTGGCTCTCACTAGGGAAGAATGGACACGGAAGGGCTGTGGTTTTGTGCACGGCCTCTTTTGTTCCATGATCTTCCAGAACGTTTCCTACATGCCAAAAAGTTGGATCTCTATAATAAATTGTAATTTACTATGAATATTTCCCAATGGAAGACAGTGGCCATATACATTTCTGTCTCCATCTTTAGAGTTAGCATATTAAGAAGCAAGTACACTGGCCTCTGGCCTGTTTCTGTCACGGCCCCCTATGGCCTTGCAGGTTACTTCCCGGGGCCTCAGTTTACTCATTTCTATATTAATCCCTTCAGGTGAAATGATCTCTAAGACGCTGACCAGGTTTAGTATCACACAAGTGCCGGAGAATTTACATCCGAATCAATTTCATAGTCTATCCACCCTTACTTTATGTTACATAGAACTGAGAAGCCTGATCAGGTTTCTGCTCTGAGGGCACTTGAGTGACATCCCATTATATACAGAATGTCCCAGGAGCACCACCTGGATGAGCAGCCAGTGGCGGGGACAAGGAAGGCTCCTTGGTTTCTTCCGAAAGTTTAGTGTGAGTTAGCCAGGAAAAGCAAAAGGGGGCGCTGGTTAATTTGTCCCTGGCATAATCCACCTACTACGGCACCCAGATAGAGTTGCCCCCCTGTCGTTGTCAGGGTTTCTACTGCTGTGACAAAACCACCGTGACCAAAATGCAAGCTGGGGAGGAAAGGGTTTATTTGACGTCCACTCCCAGATCATAGTCCGTCACTGGAAGACGTGGGGACAGGAACTCAAGCAGGCCTGATACAGAAGCCATGGAGGGGAGCTGCTTTCTGGCTTGCTCCCCGGGGCTTGCTCAGACTGCTTTCTTATAGAACCCAGGACCACCAGCCCAAGGATGGCACCCCCCCCCCAGCATGGGCTGGGCCCTCTCTATCAATAACTAATTGAGAAAATACCTTACAGATGGATTCATGGAGGCATTGCCTCAACTGAGGCTCCTGCCTCTCTGATGACTCTAGGTTGTGTCCAGGGTCAAGCTGGCACACAAAACCAGCCAGTGTCCCCATCCAGACAGTCCCTGAGAGGTCAGCCAGTGTCCCCATCCAGACAGTCCCTGAGAGGCCAGTCAGTGTCCCCACCCCACTGAGACAGTCCACGAGAGGTCAGGTGGGCTTCCCTGTGGGCTGTGAGATTGTGAGGAGTCCTTGGACCTTCCCAAAGAAAGCTGAGTCGGGGAAGTGGGGAGTGGGCAGCCTGAAAGCCCAGCCAGGAAAGATAACAGGGCTTGGAGGCCAGGGGAAAGCAGAATGGATCTCCACCAGCAGAGGGCGTGCTTTCCACCCTTTTCAAGGCCATGTGCTTACTGTTTCTGGTCTTCTGATTCTTGATTTTGGATATTTTTCAGGGCCAGGGAGAACAGATACGACGTTCGCCCTGCCTCAGCACGTGATGGAGCGGGAAGAACTAGAGCCTCGGCTGAGACGCCTGCTCTCGCATTTCCGTATCCCCTACGACTTACAAAAGCTGAGAGACTCGGCCAAAGAGATGGAGCTCTTTCCTTTGGTACCTGTTTATAGCAAGTTTGTGCTTACTATAAACATGAGTAGGTGGCAGAAGGTGCCTTTATTACTACACAGTTGCTTGTCTGTTTGTTTGAGGCAGGATCTCAGGTAGCACAGACTGGCCTCAAACTTTGCAGATGGTGAAGGATGACCTTGAACTTCCCATCCCCCTGCCTCCACCTCCCGAGTATCTGGATTGTAGGTGTGAGCTGCCACCATTGACTTAAAGATGTTTATTTTTTTTTCTGCCAGTGTTTGTTTCTAGAGTAGTAAGATACAGTGTTAATAAGCTGTCTTTGGCTAAGAAGAACTTTCTTTCCATGAGAAAACAAACAAACAAAAAAGGTAGGATATGGCCTGAAGAAGATAGAAATGTATACCAGGTTGGATAGACATGCCTGGAAGAGCTGTCAAGAATGTGTCTAAGTCTGAGCGTCATGTGTCTAGTCTAAGAAGGGATCACGGGTTCTTGACATATTAAATAAGGTTATAACCAATGACATGCACCACAGGTTCTGAGGGACACAGTCGTGCCCCTGATATTTTGTTTGTGATGTAACAAATAAAGTGCAGAGCTAAGCCACTAGTTAGCCATAGAAGCCAGGCAGTGGTGGCACACACCTTTAATCTCAGCACTCAGGAGACAGAAGCAGATGGATCTCTGTGAGTTCAAAGCTGCCTTGGGTTACGCAAGAATGACCCAGTCTGAAAGAGAAACAGAACCAGGCAGTTGTGGCTCACACCTTTAATCCCAGTATTTGGGAGTCACACGCCTTTAATTCTAGCACTAGGGAGGTAGAGATAGGAGTGATATGACTGGATAGAGAGAGGACTATAAGGCTTGAGGAGACAGGAGCTTGGTTGCAGTCTGGAGAGGCAGTCTGAGGGTTTGCAGAGATAGTATCTCCTCTTTGGTCGGAGCATTGATAGAGCTAAGAACTCTAGTGGCTGGCACCTCTGCTTCTCTGACCCTTCAGCCTCACTCCCTAGTGCCTGACTCCTGGTTCTTCTTAAGACCAATTAGAATACATGCTACATAGCCCCTTCCCACTGCAGCTCATGCTACACTTTCTTAGACGGAAAACCTCGTAGTAATAAGAGTCATATTAAGACCTCTTTCAAAGGGAAACCTGGGGCGGTGGATCCAGAACTCAGATGTATAACTTGAGAACCAACAACAGTGCTTTAACAATGAGATATCTTGCGGGCTCTAGTTGTACCTTGTTTGCAAGATAAAAACGATCAACTGGCTGACCGGAACAGCAGAAATCTAACCTGGGAGGCTTCGGATGACCTTGGGATGTGAGATCACCACTTCTCTCCTGACACCCCATGTCTGTGCTGTGGGAGGAGCTCTCTTGTAGAGCTCTGACCTTGGGGGTCCATTTGCTGTTGTTTTCACGGCAGCCTCATTTACCCGGACTGCACTGTTTGGTCTGTACCACACAGCTCACTGGACCTGGCAGGAACTCATTCCTCTGGCTTCTTGGAAGATGGTGGTGTGTAGCTTTGCCTCCCCTGCTCCTCCTTCTATTCCTCTTCCTTCTTCTGCCTCTCCCTCTCTTTTTTCCTTTTCCCCCTCCCTCCCTCCTCTCTGCTCTACCCCTTTCTCCTCCTCCTTCCCCACTCCTCCTTCTGACAGTCTTTTATGTAGCCCAGTGTCCTAGTTAGGCTACTATTGCTGTTATGAATTGCCATGACCAAAAGAGGAGAGGAAAGAACTGATTAGCTTACACTTCCAGATCACGGGCCATTGAGGGAAACTAAGGAAGGAACTTGGGTAGGGCAGGAATCATGGCCTGATGCAGAGGCCATGGAAGGGTGCTGCTCACTGACTTGCTCCTTGTCGCTTGCTCATCCTGCCTTCTTACAGAACCCAGGACCACCAGTCCAGGAATGGCACCAGTCACAGCAGGCTGGGCCCTTCCCCATCAATTGTTGTCAGCAGGATGCAGTGAAATCCATCCTGGACTAGACCACTCCATGGGCAGACAGAAAGGTTTATTGGCGGTAATGCCACCCATGCAGTCTCTGGGCGTGGGGGTTGCATAGAGAACAGCAAACTGGCACAGAAGCCTTGACAGATTTTTAAGGAGATAGTTGGCAGCCCGGGGTGGGGGTGGGGTGCGGGCCAGAACAGTCTGGGAGCTAGCATGGGAACTTTGATCCCTTGCAGGCTTGCCTGAGTTAATCAGGAGTCGGATGCTTCAGTGGCAGAGACAATTGTCTGTAGGAGGCTGATAAGAGACAAACAGAAACTTTTGCTTTATAAGGTCCCTGAAGAATGCTGAGCTTAGGTGGCAATCCTTCCGTCTACCCAGTCAGAGTCCAGCCTGAGCTGAGCCGAGACCGTCAGCATCAGCGCCACTGCCACTGGGGGCCCCACTTTGGACCTAACGATCACTAATTAGGAAAGTGCCCACCAGCTTGCCTACAGCCAGATCTTATGGAGGCTTTTTCTCCATAGAGGCTCCCTCCTCTCGAAAGACTAGTGTGAGTCAACGTGACATAAAACTGGCCAACACACCCAGGCTGGTTCCAATACTCACAGCCCTCTTGCCTCAGCCTCCCAAGCAAGTACTGGGATTATAGGTGTGTACTATCCAGAACTTTTGCCCTCTTTATGTAATCACTGAGAAAAGAATCTGAGGCCCTGAACAGCCCAACAAAGCAGCCTTGTCCCCAAAGAACAGCTTATGTCCTTTCGTGGCAACGATGGTTCTGAGTTTTGATTTTCTTAGAACATTAGCTGTTCTCCTAGGATGACCAGTGCATGCATGTTTGTGTGTGTGTGTGTGTTTGTGTGTGCACATGTGCATGCCTGCATGCATGCTTAGGTCTTTCTTTTTTTTTTTTTTTTGATACTTTAATGCCTTGAGACAGGGTCAGTCAACTGCAGCCTATAGCCCACCACCTGTTTTTCCAAAATAGAACTCTATAGCATCCAGCTGTCTCGGTCCATTCCAACTGCTCAAACAACAGGTCACAAACTGAATGGCTTAAACCAACAGTTTCTTACTGTCCCAATGGTTGAGACTGTCACAGCCAAAGCCGATTTGGCGCCTGGGGTAGGCTCACTTTCTGGTTCATAGATGTTACTTTTGTGTGTGTGTGTGTGTGTGTGTGTGTGTGTGTGTGTGCCTTCCCTAGTAGAAGGGCAAAGGTCTCTCAAGGCCTAATCCTAGTCATAAGAATGAATTACCACCTCCCCAAGCAACTAGGGCAAGTCTCCTAGTTCCTTCACCTCGGGGGTTAAGATTTCAGCACACTCATTTTGTGGAAACACAAATACTCAAATGCTAGCAACTGATCCCCTGCCTCTTTATGTGGTATCTGTGGCTACTCTCATCCCACAGTGGCAAACTTGAATAGCTGTGGTCTGCAAAAGCTGAGATCCCAGCTATCTGACAGCCCAGCCCTGGCCTCGTGTCTCTTGGTAGACCCTGCCACAGTGAATGTGACCAAGATGGCGCTGGGCAGCGTGTCTACCTGTCACACATGGAATGGAATTAGTGCAGTGAGAAACTAAAGTCCCCACTGATTTAACTTTAACCAACTTACGATGAAATGTTGATAAACAATGACACATTGGCTAGAGGCAACAGTGTGGTGTCTCCTGCCCTCAGAAGTGCAAGCATCAACTAGCAGAATCCTCAGCTCTGAAACTCACAGACATGCAGACTTTTTAGTTGAGGCTTTGGTGCCCAGCAAGGTAGGTAGATCCTTCACATATGCATGTATGTATGCATGTACATGTGGTTAAATTCACATGACATGACAGTTACTATCTTACTCCTGGTAGGTGACATTGAGAAGTTTCACTAACTGTCATGTGCACTGTGGTCCTCAGCAAGTCTCCCCTTCTCTTCCCTCTCCCCCAGTCTCCTCTCCCTCCTCTCTCCACTCTCCTTTCTCCTCTTCCTCCCTCCCTTTCTCTTTTTAATTTTTATTGACATTTAAGAGGACAAGCTATACCTCTCAGTAGTTGCCTGAGAAGGGAGAAAGAGAAAAGAAAGAAAATGCCATAATGTTGAGTTAGGCACAGAGGTCAGTTATGTGGCAGACAAGCACCTAGAGGTGGGGAAGACTGTTTACAGAGAGCGGAGCCTAAAGAATTGGGTAAAGCATGCTTAAAATAGACAATGAACAAAGAAAACGGCCAGGTGGTAGTAGCACACGCCTTTAATCCCAGCTCTCAGGAGGCAGAGGCAGGTGGATCTCTGTGAGTTCGAGGCCACCCTGATCTACAAGAGCTAGTTCCAGGACAAGCACCAAAGCTAAACAAAGAAACCCTGTCTCAAAAATCCAAAGGGGGGAGGAGGAGAAAGAAAGAAGATGAAAGTTTCATTTTTCAGAGCAATTTGGAAAAGCAGGCACCTTCCTCTGTAAGCAGCTATACTAAGAACCCACCCCTCTTCTTAACCCTGTCCAGGTTTCTCAGCACTTCCAGAGCATCTTCACCGAGCAGCAAAGGATGCGGTCATTCCAAGACTACGAGGCCTGGAGAGTTAGAGTGCAGAATGTGTCAGGCCCTGCTGCTACCCTGAAAAAGAGAGCCACCTGGACTCCCTTTGTGAAGGTAGGAGGCTACCGGGACCGCTGCCTGCCGGTGATGCCAGCAATGCCAAAACCTTCTCTCCAACTGAGCAGGAACCCTGACACCACCAGGTCCCTCTCCTTAGTACCCAGAGCAAATTGACCTCTAGGACCTAGAGGACAGGCTGCCTGTCCTCAACAGAGACAACTCAACAAACTTCATCCTGTGCACTGGGAACCCCCGCTCTTCCTACCTTAGCTCTTTGTTGAAGGTAGTAAGTCACATCACCATCTGAGCTAGAAGTTCCCCCAACACCAAACACCCATGCCGTAGATCTGAATGTTTTTCTTCTTTTGTTTACATTTTCCGAGCCTGTTTGTTTTAGAAGGCAGAATTTACTTGTAGCACAGACTGACCTTGTTCACTATACTATGTAGCCAAGGATGACCTTGAACTCCTGGCTTTGCTGGTTCAGCTCCCTTGGTGATGGGGATACAGGTGTGTGCCACTATTCTTAGCTAAAGATCTCCTCAAAACACACACACACACACACATGCATACACGTGTGCATGCACAGACATACAAACACAAACACACACACACTATTTTTGAGAGATGCTCTTATGCTGTAGCTGGTTCAAACTGGTCTTGCACTCATGGCAATCTTCCTGCCTTGACCTCTTAAGTGCTGGGGCTTGCAGGTCACTATGCCAGATTCCCTTTTCGGATTTAATGACTTCATATCTGTGACAAGAACAAAGTCTGATACTCAGAAATATAATTGATTTGTGTAAAGCCACCACTTTAGTTTAAAACTATTACTAGACATTTGCCACATCGGGCTCTCGGGGCTGAAGATGCAGGCTTCCCAAACAAGGCCGAAGCACCAGGGTTAACCCAACAGCAGTAGTTGGTGAGAAGGTACAACCACATCTCAATAGCCAAGCAGTCTGTATTCTAGAAAGAACCAGAAACACTCAGTTAGCAGATCTAGACATTGAGTTAGGTTCCTGAGAGCCTGTGGTCAAAGCATCACTTGGTACAGAGCCCTGCCAGCTCCGTGGCTCATGTTTGTAATCCAGCACTCGGGAGGTTGAGGTAGGAACACTGCCCCCAGCTCACGAACAGCCTGGGCTACACATTGTGTTCCAACCCAGCTTGGGAGACGGTAGTTTCAGCTAGAGAGTGAGACCATATTTTGCAAAAAGAAGAAGATGATGAAGAAAGATAAAAAGAAAGAGAAAAAAAACACACCAAAATCAAGCCCTGTTTTAATGTATTTTTTGTTTAAAGATGCCCTGATTAATGCATATCATTGATTCATAAGCATTGAACTTCACTATTAGAAGTACTCAAACTCCATGTAATGATGTTTATCTAACATGTCTTCTCCAGAAACTGTCGCAGCTTTCTAGTGCAGGACTGAAAACATAGCCAGCACTTTAGAATTCTCTTTAGGGCCAGTTTCACCAACAAAAAGCACAATGAACATGGCTCTAAACAAAGCACAGAAGGGGCACTTGTCTCCAGTGTCCTTAAGGTAGAATATTATCTTACTCAGTCTTGGCTGGGAATGTGCCCACTATCCCCAACTCTGTAAAAGTCTATCAATGACCATGATTGACACTGAGGTCACAAATACATTTTAATGAGTGGGCAACACTGAAAATGTAGAATCCATGTTTGATAAGGCTTGACGGTTGTATGAATGGAAGGAATCTCTTTTTAAAGATTAAATATATGTAATTTAGTGTGTGTGTGTGTGTGTGTGTGTGTGTATGCTTGCGCACGCGGGTATGCACGCACGCACCTGCCTGAGTGTATGTATCACAAGCCTGCAGGTATCACTTTACACCAGAAGAGGGCACCAGATCCCCTGGAATTTGAGCTATAGGTAGTTGTACACTGCCAGATGTGTGTGCTGGGTACCAGAATTGGAAAGGAAGGTCTGATGGGATTTGTTGCCATTGCTATCTGTTCAAACTGCTTTGATGAAGTACAATGAAGCCTGTAGCTGTAAGCAAAGTGATTTTGCTTTTCACATTTCTGGAGGCTGAGCAGGTCTGCCTGCCAGCACAGCGGGGAATCTGGCAAGGACTCTCTTCTAGGGAACAGACTGCTGACTTTTTGCCTTTCCTTTACATGGTGGGAGAGGCACGCAGCAGCCTCAGGCCTCTTATGAGGGGCTGATCTTATTCACGAGGGCTCCGCTGCTATGAACTTATCCCCTCTAAAGTCACACTTGCCTATAGCATCATGTTGTAGGGTGGGTTTCAATGTGAATCTCGGAGAGACAGAGCCCACCTGGAAAGGTGGGCTGAAAGGAACCAAAGATTGTTCTCCATCTGGGGATTGAACTCAGGCAGTCAGTGTAGGTGGAGCAGACCCTGTATCTTAGAATTAACCCCCAAACATAGATAATATGGAGGTACTTGGGCAGAACAATCAGGAGTGCCCACTAAAACATGGCATTGTCATCTACAGTGCTTATGTTTGGGAATTGCACAGCTGAGTTACAAAAAAAAAAAACAAAAAAAAAAAAAACAAAACCCAAACCCTGGTTTTAGGTAAGTTTATCATTTTATGAACAGTTGCATTCCTAGATGTTCTTGACCGCAGACCATGTTCATACCTATTTGGGCTGAGATATGAATTTGAAAATTACCAGCATATTGATGATGTGATTTATAGCTACAGAGTTAAGTTTAGAGATACGGTTTCTGGATAGGAAAGATGAAGTCTTTAATATGGAGTCCTTGGGTCTCTGGTAGCTTCTCCCTCTGTTCATGACGATGTCCCCAGTGATGGCGGCTCTCGGCTCCTTCCTGCTTGTGTGCTTCACAGTAGAGTCTACCTGGAACTCCCGTGTGGCCTAGACCAAGTGCCAGCAGGAACTGCAGGCTCCCTTCACAGCTCAGTGTTGGCCCGGGCAGACCCTTCCCAAGGCCTCACATGCCCCAGCAAACCTGCAAGCAGGGACACAGATCTCCTTTGGCAGGTCCTCAGGTCTTTCTCTGTGTGGCTTCTAGTGAGACACATGAACATATCTATCCACTAGGTCAAGCCGAAATGTGACCCTTGGCAGAAGAAGATGTTAACCAGACTCAAAGAGCGGAGGAGAATAGATGAACTAATGCAAGTCCAGTCAAAGATTTTGAAGGTGAGAAAATAACCATAGGCAGGTAAGAGGCTTGCTAAACACCATCCTCAAAAACTGTGGGGTTTTCTTTCTCTCTAAGAAAAAAACAAACAAAAAATAAAGAACAACAACAAAAAATGGCATGGGTTCACTCTGAAAGCTTTATTTTTAAGCTTTCTTTAAAAAAATTAATTTGCTTTTTATGTATGAATGTTTTGCCTGCACGGTATCTATATGCCATAAGTGTGCCTAGTGCCGTGGAGGCCAGAAGAGGTTGCTGGGTCCCCTAAGACAGGAGTTGTCGGCAGCTGTGAGCATCTGTGAGGTGCTGAGAATGGAACCTGGGTCCCCTAAAAGAGCAGGCGAGCTCTTGTTCTCGGAGTCAACTCTTTGAACTCTTTGTTAGAACTTTCTAATCTAAGCAGCAAACTAAAAATTCAGCTAGCTTTCAAGGAGAGAATAAAAATTGTCAATTCCCCGAGTTTGGTAGTTCATGCACACCTTTCATCCCAGAAATCTGCAAAGGCAGAGGGGTCTCTGTGACTTCAAGGCCATCCTGGTCTGCATGGAGTCCCAGATGAGCCAGGGTAACAGCAAAATCCTGTCTTAAAAAGGAAACAAAAGAAAACTGTCAAAGAGTTGGTTTTGCTTCAATGCTGAGCTGTGTATGGTGTTCATCTAACTGTGTAGCCTGCTTCAACTTGAACTTCCTCATCTTCGACACAAGAATATTGGGTGAAAACCATTTTCTGCCTTAGTTACTTAAGTGCACAGTTCATTAGCGCTAAGTATGTTCACATTGTTGGGCAATAAATTTCCAGAACATTCATGTCTTGCGGCAATGATGCTCTGCCCGAATTGAACAATCCCCCAGCATCCCCTCCTCCCAGCTCCCCTGCAACAACCACCCTACTTCCCCTTTCTGTGAATTTTGATACCTCAGATGAGCGCAATCCTGCACGACTTAGCCTCTCTGTGACTGGCCTACTCAGGCAACACAATGTCTTTGAGGGGCAGCCATACTGGAAAGTTTGTTAGAAATTTCTTCCCTTTCAAGGCCAAATAGCAATCCCTTGGGAGTATTACGAAGGTCTAGTCATCCACCTGTCGAGGAATATCATGGATACTGTGGACATTGCTATGAACACTGTGTACACATATCTGAGGTCTTGTTTTCCATTCTTTTTGGTGTATACCCAGAAATAAACTAGCTGAACCATATATTAATTCTTTTTAGTCTTTGGTGTTTATGGTGGCAGCTACCCTTCTTCTATAGAAACAACAGCAGACAGCACCACTCTGGAGAGGCTGAGAATATTCCCACCAACCTTTTGGTTCAAGGCCTTAGTCCTGAGGCTAAATTCTTATTTAGTAACTAGGTTGTGTTGTTAAATTGGAAGAGCTCTTTCTGCTCTCTATTTTGCTTGTCAGGTACTTTATATATTCTATTTCCTTTATCAGATCTATGACTAGAAAGTGTTTTCTCCCATTCTATAGGCTCCTTTCTGGTTCTGTTTATATATCCTTTGAGTCAGAAAAGCTTTCTTTAGTTTTGTGGTGTGGCATTTTTCACTTTTTACCCCCGTCCCTGACTTTTGATGTCAAAAAAAAAAAATAAAACAACAACAACCAACAACCACCCAACCCAAACACCCAACAGTCAAATGAACTAACCCAGGGATGGAGCCATGGTGCAGTAGTTAGAGCTGTGTTGTTCTTGCTGTGAGCCCGATTCTTTCCCAGGCCCTACGTGGTGGCTCACACCATCTGTGACTCCAGTTCCAGGGCACCTGATGCCCTCTTCTGACCTCCAGAGGCACCAACCACATGTGTGGTACACGTACATACATGTAGGTAAAACACTCAATATATTAACTAAAATAAATCTAAAACAATTTTTGATATTTATTTTTACATTATGTGCATGGGTGTTGGGTCCCCTGGAACTGGAGTTACAGACAGTTGTGAGTTGTTGTGTGGGTTCTGGGAATTGAACTCAGGACCTCTGGAAGAGCAGTCAGTGCTCTTAATTGCTGAGCCATCTCTCCAGCTCCCCTAAAAAACTTTTAACTCACAAAAAATTGCCAAGTCCTTTATTACGAAGCTTTTCTGCTTCCTTCTGAGAGATTTGAACTTTTAGGGCTTAACTTCATGTCTTTAAATCAACGTTTACATACAAGAATGAAACTTCTCTGTTCTTCATTTGGCTATTTGGTTTTCCAGCACCATTAATGCAGACAGTATGTTTCCATTTGGTGGTCTCGGTATCCTTGACCACGGATGTGGGGTTTATCTCTGAGCTCAGTTGACCTGTAGCCTCTCCTTACGCCACACCGGACTATTTTGACCACTATTTATTTTCAATACTTTCTAAACTCAGGGAGTGTGAGTCCTCCAGCCTCATTCTTTTTCCAAATTGTTTGGCTCTTGGGGGCTCCTTGAGATTCCACATTAATTTTATGATGAAGTTTTTTCTATACTTACAACATGCTTCTGGGGTGACAGGATTGGAATAAACGGCCTTTAGAATTCTTTGAGATATTAAAATGATGCAGTAGCATGTGTATAGTTGGTGGTCGGTTCTGGGATCATTATTTGATTTGTCACCTCCAGAAGAGAAGGGATGTTTATTCAGCTTCTGCACGCTGGGCGTCTTACAGCAATCTAGGAAGAGATATTGTTAGTATTGGGGTCAGGTTGACACGCACTGCTCTGCGGACGGCAGGGGAATAAGCTCAGGTCTGTGACCTTAGGAAGCCTCTGCTGCCTCCTTCTCCGTCTCCTGCCTCTTCCTAACAGGACAAATTTGCCCCCAGAGCTGGCAGGCGGGGGGGGGGGGGTTCTCATTCACTGGTGTAACCCCTTGTGAGGATGCTCTCTGATATTGTTCTGGAGGCTGCCTCTGAATTTTAAATAAGCTGGCATGTATATCTGAATTTATATGGTGTCAAGTGGATGCATGGATCTTGGGCATTCATAACATTTGAGTTTAATTAATTTTTTCTGCTATAAAATTTATTCAAAGAACTTTTAGTGTGTTTTGGAATAAATTATAAATTCTAAAATCATTAATACACCTGAAAACATAATCATTAGTTTCAACACATAGATTTATAAATATTTTATTTCTGCAAGGTCATCAAGATACCATTTAATTGGGCTGGTCTTTACTTAAATGGCCTTTTACCTTAGTATTCCAAGTAAAAAATTCACTCCATGCAAAAAAAAAAAAATGGACCTTAAGTCCCCAAAGGAAGACAAAAAGTAGCTAAAAAAAATTGACAGGAAAGGAAATTAGTAACTTAGAAAAAATGGCAAGAAAGGGGGGGAAAACAAGAGTCAGTTTTTCAACACCAAGAGCATTAGGTGCTGATTGTCTTTTAGTCTCAGTTGAAAATACTTAAGTTAATCTTAACACTCTCCAGACCTTATGACCCGCATGACCTTATTTCTAATTTCATATAAAAGTTCCATGGGCTATATGCCATGTGACGAAATAATCAGACAAGTAAACATGTGCTTTAAGTATCCAAACAAGAAAAGAGGATTTTTTTAAAAAAATAGGATTTTAAAAATGTATATTTCTCAAAAGTTAAAAATATGAACACAGAGAAAACCCTCTGAGGTGCTTACTTTGCCTCTCTAACTCCTGAAATATCTTAAAAGTCTGAATGATACTTAAGGTTTATGTTACATGTTGCAGACATAGCCAAGTGAGGAGTGAATGCTTCTAATGGGTGAGGCCCTGGCTTGATCTACCAGCAACACCCCCCCGCCAAAGGATTTATAATAGCTGAACTGTCCTTTTAATGTATTTTTAATGGCAGAAGGGTAATTTCTCCCTAGAAAATAGTACTATATAGACTTGTTAAAAATCTTCAAAGCGTGAGTTATAGAACAAAATTAGAGAGTTTTCCTTCAAATGGTTTGTTTTGTTCTGAATGATTCACTAAAGGCAATTTCAGCCAAACTAGTAAATTTAACTAACTTCAAAGAAATGTTGAAAGATTCCTTAAATTTCTCTGTATAAATACCTATTTTAAAAATTAGAAACAGTTCAAGTTTGGGAATTAATGTGAAATCAAGTTTCAGTATATTTACTGAACATTACAATGGAAAAGGCATCAAGGTAATTCATATTTGAAGGCAGATATGAAATACTTAAACCATAAATAACTTTAGTTGTGTTTGTGATTCGTTTTAAGATTTATTTATTCATTATGTACACAGTGTTCTGTCTGCATGTATGCTTGCAGGCCAGAAGAGGGTGCCAGTTCTCATTAAAGATGGTTGTAGCCGGGCGATGGTGGCGCACGCCTTTAATCTCAGAACTCAGGAGGCAGAGGCAGGAGGATCTCTGTGAGTTCGAGACCAGCCTGGTCTACAGAGCTAGTTCCAGGACAGGCTCCAAAGCCACAGAGAAACCCTGTCGCGAAAAACCAAAGGAAAAAAAAAATGGTTGTAAGCCATGATGTGGTTACTGGGAATTGAACTCAGGACCTCTGGAAGAGCAGTCAGTGCCCTTAATCTCTGAGCCATCTTTCCAGCCTGTGTTTGTGATTCTTAATCATTACCAAGGGCATGTGTCATTTGAGTTTAATAAATTTTTAACACGGGGTCTCGTGTGTTCTAGTCTGGCCTCAGGCTCACTTATGTAGCTAAGGACGGCCTTGAACTTCTGATCCTCTGGCACCCAGTTCTCAAGTGCTGGGATTACAGGTGTACCACCCGTGGCAGGTTCATGCCATGAGGAGATAGAAGCTACAATTGCATGCTAGCCAAGCACTCTGTCAGCTGAGTTAGGCCTCAGCCCTGGTTTTGAGAGAAAGAAGTCTCACTTAAGGCTCCTTCCAGATTCTTGAGAAGGAACCCAGGTGCCAACGAGATGGGTCAGTAGGTAGAGGCCCTCTCTTTCAAGCCTGACAACTTGAGTTTGATTCCCTGCACCCATGTGATGGAGAGAGAACAGACTCTAGTGTTGTCCTCTGACCTGCACATACATGCTGTGACAGCCATACACACACAGAGAGACATATACACACAGCCACACAACACATACAAATAAATAAATAACCCAGGTGGTGGTGGTGCACACCTTTAATCCCTTGTACTTTAATCCCTTATACTTGGGAGGCAAAGGCAGGAGGATCACTATGAGTTCGAGGCCAACCTGGTCTACAGAGCAAGTGCCAGGACAGGTAGGGCTACACAGAGAAACCATGTCTCAAAAAACCAAAATAGGTAGATAGATGATAGATAGATAGATAGATAGATAGATAGATAGATAGATAGATAGATGATAGATGGATGATAGATGGATAGCTAGCTAGCTAGCTAACTAGATAGATAGATAGATAGATAGATAGATGCATTTTTTAAAACCGAAACAAGGTGACCTTCTTGCGTCTATTAACCGTCTCTTCTCCCTGCTCTGCTTAAGATTTCTGACCCTGTGAAGGCTGTGCAGGTGCTCCAGGATCACGCTGCAAGGACAGTGACTATGGATCCACATCGCTCCTCTTTCATGACTTCTCAGCCTTTGCATCCATGCAGCTATGATCACATCTGGCAGAGTATTTATAACAACATCGACCTCTACCAGGTAGGACAGGAGCGAACGGTCTGTTTGCCTTTCCCCACCTTTGGCTCTATCCATCACCTTTAGGACTTCACCCTCGATGTCAAAGCTCTATTATCTATGCAGGCTAATTACCATAATCAGAAGGAGGGGCGTGCAGCTATGTGCTGTACACCTTCATTCTGCCTGCCATAGGCCCCCGCAGATCCACGCCGGCAAGGCTGCAGGCCCTGTGCTGGCAAGAGCTGAGTGCCCAGCCGATGGACCCTTTGTGTGCTGTTAGTGGGACTGCATCGCAGCAGGGGCTGCTAGGGGAAACACCCCCCAAATAAGAAGAGAATGAATATAAACAGTGGAAAGGGGCCAGCACACGGGTGGTGCAGAGGAGATCGCATATGTGGGCGAGAAAGGACAGCAAAGAGAAGCCACTCTTTTGATGCAGAGGGAAAGAGAGGTTGTAAATGCCCACAGACCCCGGACTAAAGAGTACGGTGTCCTGTAAGCAGAGTGATACACGCAGAGGAGGATTTTAGGAGGATTCGCGTGGCAGCAGCATGCGAGTTAAGCTGAAGAGGGAAGAGATCAAATTCACAAAGTCAGTCAGGAGACTGTTGTCTGAGAAGGACGTGAAGCTGAGCCCTGAGAGGAACTTCCTACACAGCCTTAGTGGCCATTGTCTTGACCTTGGTGCCATGTGCTTTTGAAACTAGAATTTGCTAGTATCTGTTTGTGGTGTATTAGCTAACGTAGGACGGGGAGACCCAACTGTGTTCATAGTCTAACAGGAAGGAAGGACATGGGAAATAGGTGAGCTTGGGGGAACAGGAGGGAAGGGCATGAAGAAACAGGGCAGAGGGGTGATCCTGAGGAAGAGAACATGGTGTCACACCCCGGGAAGCAAGGAAGAGGTTTTATATGAGTGAAAGGTTAGGATGCAGGCACAGTGTCTGGTCCTGGCTCTGGGAGAGAGGCAGATGTCAGGTGAGAGGACCCGTGAGGAGCTCAGTGGCGACACCTGCAGGACCGTCAAGGAGAGCCACGTAGCTAACAGGCCCTAGAGCTCCTTCAAATAGCCGGATTGCTTGAACTTCTGAAGTGAACTGTGGAGCCATGGAAAGGTGTAGAAATCAAAGGTGTGAGGAAGTTGAGGATGCTGATGAGCATCCTGGGCCATCACTCCAGGCTGGAGAAAGTGGGACCTGAAGGATTGCAGTGGGCTTCAGAGCGTCTGGAAGCAAACACAAATACAGCACTTGTGCACACACATACGCTTCTCTTGTCTTATGTCATTTTCAGTCTGCTGAATGCAGATCTAGAGAACCCAAAGAGAAACGCGTTGACCACATAGGTCAGCAGTAGAAGTGGCATATCAGCGCAGGCCACCTGGGCTCCCAGATTCCCTGTGGCACACCCAACTGTCAGTATGCTCTCTCCTCGGCTGGCGTCTTGCCAGTGCTGAGGGCTCACGTTACCCTGTGGTATATATGTCACTGTCAAGAGGAATGTATATTAACAAGGGGACATTAAAAGTATGCAAGTCTTCTGCTTCCTCACCCAAATGGACAGGAGAGAGGGAGATGGAGAAAGCAAAAGACACAAGGCATTCGCCCCGGGTACCTCTGAGCCTCGGCTTTTGTGGTGCTGAACCGTTTGCCCCAGAGGACAATTAATTAATCACCTTCTACCTTAGATTTCAATTACCAACATCCCTGGGTGTGGTGACATGGTCCTGTAATCCCAGCACTTAGGAAGTGGAGGCAGGAAGATCAGAAGATCTGGGTCATTCTCTGCTACAGAGCAAGTTCAAAACTGATCGGGGCCACATGAGATCCTGTCTAAAAGAAAAAAGAAGAAAGAAAGGAAAAAAGAAAAAGAAAACCTTAAGCCTGTAATCACAAATGTGTTCTCTCACTGGCTGAGAAAGCAGAGAGAGTTAAAGTCTCAGGGACCTAATGAGTTAAAGGAGGCCAATAAGAACAAGAGAGGGACAGGGGGACAGGGTGGAGTTAGATGTTTGAAAATGCGCAGAAGCAGTGAGGTCCAGGCGCCACTGGCCAGCAGGGGACCAGGGTGAGGAGTGCTGGTGGCCCTTATGGCCAGAGGAATTTACCTCTGTGGGACCATGTGGTAGCAAGCAGAGGGCTTGCGGTGACTTGTCTAGGTGTCAGGCAGCAGAAAGCCTAAGTTAAGGCGATTGTATGGGAAGCCATGTTGGAAATGGACGAGGGAAGACTCCCAGACTCCCGCTTGCCTTTGCTGGACCAGAGCAGAGGGAAAACTGACACTTCTACCTGAGCTCTGCTCCTCCCCTGGCAGGGGGGATGGGAACTCAGGTGGGATTGGTGTGGTCTTCTCTCATTAAAACTGCCTTGAAGGCAGTCAAAATAAGGGGAAGGGAGAAGCCAGGTGGTGTGGCTCCCACCTATAATCCCAGCACTAGGGAGACTGAAGACTGCAGCAGGAGGTTTACCAAGAATTCCGGGGCAACCTGGGGTACATAGTGAGTTCCAGGGGAGCCAGGGGTACAGAGTGAGATACTGTCTTAAGAGAAATGAGGGGAGGGAGGAAGAGAGAGGGAGGGAGGAGGAAGGGAGGAAGGAAACTACTCCTGGCTATTTGCTGATTTATGAACGTTATTCTTGGAACTGACCAAAGACAGACAAATATGACCACTGTATTTTCAAGTTGATTTATGGTTGATAGATCATAAAGAGGCTTAGAATACTCATAAATGTTCAGATTCCAGGGTTGGAGCTTGAGACAGATAACACACACATCACATTACCTGCTTGTTCCCTCCTCTCCTCCTCCCTTCCCCTCCCTCCTCCCCTCCTTCCCTCCCTCCATCCTCCCCTCCCTCCCTCTCTCCCTCCTGCCTTTCTCCCTTCAACAGTTTTCTCCCATGCCTAGAATTGCACTGGGCTCCAGGAATGGGTCCTACCCAGTCCTTGCCCCCGGGAGGCATCCTATTGAAAATGAATTAGATAAGGACATACAAGTGTTTCTCTGACATGTGAGCACCATGAAGAGAACTATGGGGGGACACACTCTGGTAGAAACTGCCTGGAAAAGAGCTTTCAGGGCAGGGTTGGAAGACAGCACTGTTTAGGAAAAGAAATTCTGAGTCAACAACCAACATTTTTTCTGAATTTTCCCATGAGTCAGAATTTGTATCCTCTGCAAGTATGTCTGTCTATACAGATTCAGGGCCCTCTTGGGCTCACAGTACTGGTCTGAATGTTGAGTAGCAGTCTGGCAGGCTCAGGATTGGTATACAGAGGCATCTGGGAGGTGCTGGAATGTGGGCGTGAATCCAAGGCTTGGGTGCAGTTTTGCAAGCATGTAACTGTCAAGCTCCCTTTAGCGTCTGTGTGTGGGTCAGCACTCCGGCTCTGAAGCTGGTAAGTGGCAGCTAAGAGCCACCAAGTATCTTTCTCAAGGGCGCTGGGCAGGAGGCGGATGAGCTGGGCGCCTTGACGGCTCTGAGAGAAGCAATCCTTAGTTCACTGTAGTGGATCCTCAGAGGGAGCTTTCGTCAGTAAAGCTTTCCTTAGGGTTTCCACTTTTTTTTTTTTTTTTTTTTTTTTTTTTTTTTTTTTTTTTTTTTTTAGGGTTTCCACTTTTGAATAAAAGGATTTTATTTTATAGTTCAAGGCTTATAGAAAAGTTGCATAGGCTTCTCCTGCCACTGGTTTCTTACATTGTTACATTATTACAGCGCCTCTGTCAACCAAGGAACCGGTCCTGGCGATATTGTCAGCTGAGCTCGGTGCAGGCAGATTTCAGCCCTGTTGACTTTGTCTACTTCGTTAGCTTTGCAGCATTTGCCAGGTTTCCCTACTGGAGTCACTATTTCTTTCTTAAAAGAAAATTTTAGTGTTTTTGTTTGTTTTGGTTTTGGTTTTCATTTGAGACCAGGTCTCACTATGTAGCCCTGGTCGTCCTGGAACTCTCTACATAGACCAGGCTGACCTTGAATCCACAGAGATTCTCCTGTCTCTGCCTCCCGAGGGCTGGGAATAAAGGTGTGCACCACCATGCTCTGCAAAAAAAAAAAAAAAAAAAACAAAACAAAAAACAAAAACCCTCGTCCTTCTAGAACATTCAAACGTTTATAAGTGAAGAACTGGATTTCTTGTGACTGCCCAACCCCTATGCTCAGCCCTTATCTCTGTGATAAGTGTGGTGACTACTCCCATCTGTATGAATACATCTGTTAAAATACACACGGGAGAGCTTTATGTTTGGATTTTCTATTTAAATAACATGTCATTCCATGCGAATATCTTTCTATAACTTGATTTTTCTATGTGATAATATATCTGGGGAATCTGTCTCTACTGCTCTCTCTCTCTCTCTCTCTCTCTCTCTCTCTCTGGAGTGTGTGTGTGTGTGTGTGTGTGTGTGTGTGTGTGTGCACGCGCACGTGCATTTGCACACGTGCACGTTGGAGGCTAGAGGTCAATGCCAAGTGTCTCCCTTATATTTTGAGACAGGATCTCTCACTGAACCTGAAGCTCAATGATTGGCTAGGCCAACTGGCCTGCAAGTACCAGAGATCCTCCTGTCTCCACCTCCCCAATGCAGGGATTACAGGCATGTGTCACAGATTTTACATGGATACTGAGGACTGAACCTATGCTTTCAAGTTTGGACAGTAAGCCTGATTCTTTGTCCCAGCTGCCCCAAACTGAAGCAATCACACAGAAACCATATTAATTAAATCACTGCTTGGCTCATTAGCTCTAGCTTCTTACTGGCTGACTCTTACATATTAATTTTACCCATTTCTATTAATCTGTGTATCGCCACATGGCTGTGGCTTACTGGCTAAAGTTCTGGCGGGGATACATGGTGTCTCTCTGACTCCACCCTTCTTTCTCACAGCATTCAGTTTAGTTTTCCCAGCCTAGTTCTGTTCTTCCCTGCCATAGACTCAAAGTGATTCTTTATTCATTAACAAATAAAGGCAACACATAGACAGAAGGACCTCCCACACCATTTCCCCTTTCCTGTTTAAACAA